GAGAAGAGAAGAGAAGAGAAGAGAAGAGAAGAGAAGAGAAGAGAAGAGAAGAGATGGGCCTAAGGAACCAGCAACAAGGCTTTAAGGATTTTGGCAATGACTGTCCAGGCAGAGAATATACAGATTCAGATCCGTGAATCTCTGCATGCTGCTTGCTGATCCAAGAAGGGGCTGACGTTCCCATAGCTACTGCGAGACGTAAAACTTAAGAGATGAAGTATTTGAACTTTTCAGAAAATTTAGCCACAAGAAAAAAAAAAAAAAAATCAAAGAAAAAAATTAATATCCCAGGTGAAAAGAGGACTTGGCGTATCTAAATTCTGCGCAAGCAGAGAAGGCCGCCTCTGAGTGAGAACGCCAACTCATGGGCGGTCAGAGGCTGAGGGACTGGGCTGTAGAAAGGAACTGGTTTCGACTCCTGCCACTAAGACCCTGTGAAACCTTCATGGGCCTCCATGAGAAGGCTAGATGATGGGAGGTCTTTTCCAGCTCTTAAATTCCTACAGTTTGCATAAACACAAACTACATCTTAGAAATCCAACCAGGGAGAGAAGTCTAAGCCCTAAATAACTTAAACTGCACTCTGGTTAAGCTTCAAGGATTTCCTAGAACGAAGGAACACAGTTCTCCAGCTTGTCCAATAAGTGGAAGAACAACCTGAGGAAGGAAGTAAAGAGCTGATTTCCACCTCCGCCAGATCAGGTGTCCTTCACGCCTGTAGGCCAAGGCTGAGCTTTCCCAGGAAGCCTCAAGCGACAGGTAGCTCTGTTGAAAACACCAAAACAATCCCATTATAGGGGGATGGTGTTCAGGGTTCACCCGAGGCCTGAGATAGGAAATTAGCTTGATGCAACAAACTGCGTCAACCTACCAAGAACACGAATAATGTCTTAACTTCCAGGGGGTGCGAGTTATTGGTCCTTCAACTGCATGATTCAAAACCAGAAGACAAGGACAGTGATGATACACAGCTGTAATCCTAGGCTGGGGCAGGAGGGCCTTAAATTCAACCCCAGCCTGGGGTAACACAGTGAGACTTTGTCTCAAAACAAACAGAAAAAGACTGTGAGGATGTAGCTCTGCATGGAAGTACTGAGTTCAGCCCCCAGTACTGCAAAAAGTGGGGGGAAGGGGGGGAAACTCTGAGCAGTCCCCATGGGGGGAGGGGTGTTTGTATGCCAGACCTAAGCGAAACACAGGCAATTTGGCTACATAACACATGCAAAGCAAGATGTAGCTGAATTAATTTTTACAGAAACTCCCTTGAGTTTGCATGAAAGCTCCCCTAGCATATTAGCAGCGACTGAATGAGAGCGTTAACTGCAAGAGGAGTTAATGTTTATTAGACTGAAATCCACCTTTTCAGCAGCCAGTCTAGTCATAAAGGCTGTCAGGCAGAATTCTCTTCTCCACCACCAGGTTCCTGCTCATCAATTTGCATCTCCACAACAAACAATGGCATGAGATTAAAAACTATTATTTCCTACGCAAGAACACAGTGTATAAATTACAAAGCTCCAAATAGCTTTCAATGTAAAACTCTCAGGACAATTTACTGTATATTCTGCAGCCTAGTGTCTTCATCCTCACTTTGGGCTCCAGATGGAAGAATTATACTCCTACAAACAAAGTCTAATTAAAACATAAACCACGCACAATGAAAACTGCAAAGGAAGCTAGGTTTGAGGTTCAGCTATGGACACCAGCAGCTTCTTGCCACTTCTACAGTACTTTAAACCCAGGGACACACAATCCGCAGCACAGATCATGGGGTTTCAAAACCCAGAGAATAAAAATCAAACTTTAAAAACAAACATGCAAGGGCGGGGGAGGTGGCTCAGTACAATAAGTGCTTGCCTGACAAGCCCAAGGGCCTGAGTTCAGTCCCTGGTTCTGCCAAAAGAAAAAAAGGAAAAGAAAAAGAAAAAAGACATGCGCACATGTTCTTTTGTAATCTAGTGCTGGTCAAGACTTGTCACCTCACTCTGGTAGGTAATAAGCTGACTCTGATAGTGAAATGATTCAGAATCTTCAATGTTAAACAATTCTTGCAGCTGCATAGTGTGGGTGAGTCACACACTCTTGGCTCACCCTCGTGGGTGCCAGGTACAGAGGCCACAGGTGTGTCCATGCCCACCCACATGGATTTCCCCATCCCAAATGGCAGGGAGCCCAGAAGGGAACCCCACCCCCACCTCGGGTCTACTGGTTAAGAAGTCTCGCAGCCCCGATGCTCTAGAAAGCAGCCCCGGGGACACCACACTCAAAATCCAGACACTGCAGCTTACAGGGACTTCCTATTAGTTTCCATTGTGCGCTCACTGTCTTTTAAACAATGTCTGCACAAGGTCATCAGATTGTGGACCTTTGGTGACTGCTGTGCCCCAGCTGTTTAATAAAAGCCCGACGGTGTAAGAGCGCAATAAGCATTTCTGGAATTGATTACAAATGCACCGGAAGCTCAGCCTCACCCACCTACTCCAGGCCAGGGGTTTCTGTTCACGCTTGCCTGGCCAGTGCCTAACTTTAGGCAACACCTAGCACACTGGCAGTGAGCTGGCCGAAATCATGACCACTGCTTGTCCCATAAACACTTCCCACGGTAACGAACACAAAGGGCCCAGCTAAACTGCTCACAAGCGGCAGCTACAGAGCTAGCCCTCCTCCGAGACACCTGGCGCCACTGTGGGCCTGTGTGCTTCCCTGGGACCAGCGCCCACCTCAAAGTCCACGAAGGCAGGCAAGGACCAGAACTCACACTCCTATCACAGTTCCTCGGCTAACCCTCACCAATACTCCTCTCAAATACTTTTCTAAGGTACCACCCTCCCCTTTGTCTCACCTGCCAGGTCTCTGCAGGCCCTACTGCTCTATCTTGTTACCCATCTACGCAGCTACCCCTCTATCCCATGGGCTTTCTGGTTACCCTCTACCATCTACACCCCCTCAGCCATTGCTCAGCCACAATCTTACAATCAACACGTCCGAACTGTGTCTCAGTATTTGAAAATTGAAAAAATAAAAATCCTTTTTTGCCCAACTCGGGTAACGTGGTTCTCCCTTCCACAAACGCATTAAGTTGGGATTTGACAGCACAGTAATGAAAGGAGACAAACCCAAGCACCCTGTCCTTATGGCTTACTGGTCAGCTTAATATAGAAGAGACAGCAATAGGGCCCAGAAATGGAAAAAGAACAGAGTTTTCTTTTATTTAGCCACATGTTTGCCAGTCTTTGAAGTATTAAGACAAGTTCTCGTGAAGAATAGCAATCAGTCACAGACGCACACTCCTATGCTATGGTTATAATGCATTTTCAAAAAAAGAGAACACAACCCCTAGCCACTCCAAGCACACAAAATAAAGCAATGTAGGATGCAAGCACCAGATATGTGGTGTTTCAT